CAAAAGTGTTCTGAACAAGTCTTTCAGGTTGACTTAATAAAGCACAAGCACACAAAAAAGGATCTCAAATGCTACTTGCTAGAGTAGCAAAGTAAGTTACATACTCCATTAACATTGTCTTCAGTGAAGTTACTAATAGTTCAATCACTTGCAAGTGGGAAGGGCAAGTGTCAGAACACAGTTACTAAAACATTAACCTCCTGCAATGCCTTCAAAGTGCTTTGGCCATTATTAAAATGCTGCTACCTTTTTCATAGATAAACTTGTTTAAAAGGGACATTTATGGAGTTTAGGCCCAAAATTTAGCCTTTGAGGAAAATTATAATATTTTCACCACATCTACTATCAACAGAAAGGATTTAATGAGATTTCTTTTAAATATTCTTTTCACCAAATTGGATTTTTTTTAATGATATTCCCACATTGTACTGGAAATTCACACTGGAACATTGTGTAGTTGGAGTAGAACAAACACAGAGCTCTGAATGTTATCATGAAACTGACAAGCCAAGCTTTATTATCCAAACTGAGTAACGCGCAAAAAGTAATCTAAAGGCAAAGATACTGAAAAGTAAGGTAGAATTGTTTTAAATTCTATTTTAATATAAACATTAAGAACAAATGAGGGAATGCTTTTAAATTTAATTTTTCTTTTCACAGTACCCCTTTAAAAAGTCAATTGATAACACATTTATGCTAATAAAATGTTAAACATATTAATTACTGTTAATTGAGCATCTCTTGGGCTTTTCATAGATGTTACCACACTAATGAAATTCAAAAGTAGTGAGACAGATGCCAATTTATCCTTTATAGTTCTATCATTCTCCTGCAACTTCCTAACAAATAATTTTTCTCTACTGGAAAAAGATTACCGTAACTTAATTGAATTATTTGGCCATACAAGGCAGATTCTGTTGAAGTCTCATAAAGACTCAACCATTGCTTCTTTATTTTGAGCTCTTTGTTGGTTAAGCAAATACTGCAAATATCAAATACAGACAAATTTAAGACCCTTTGCCAAAATATGCTCATAACCGCACACTGTACAAGCCACTCATAGTGGATATAATACTTGTATGCCTTGATTAAACTGATTATATCCCATCCAGACAGCAATGTCCTTACACTAGTCCAACAACTCAGAGAGTAATGCAAGTCCATGATATGGACAGGTTAGAAGTGAGCCTCAGGCTCGAACCATTGCCTAGTAGGGACTCAGAGCATGGTGCTGGACAGTCCAGATGCACCAAGCATACTTACTGCATCACTCACAGGTAATGCCCCTCTTTAAAGGGGCACTTCTGTATGAGGGACTGGCAGCCTTTGTGGAGATGGGATCTCCCATCAGATGAAGCAAAGGATTGTGAATGGAAAGCAAGGACAGGATTGTAATAATGAAATGCTTACAGCCTTCAACTTTCCTAGGATGGCTGAGTCTGACTGACTATCACTTGAATGAGACAGTAAACACACACACAAAAGAAATCATGAGGTTACACTAAAGACAGCCTTAATATTCTTAAATGGCCTTTAAACTGTACAGGCATTTAACATAAGTTTATCTAAGGGACTAGTCACAGGTTATTGTATGCTTATAAGGTACCACAGATCCTGTAATTGACACTATGCCTCTGACTCAAGAGCTATCACTTTGGAAGCAAAGACTGATGATGTGTCATTGCTTCATCCCAATCATTGACAACCCAAACTGAACAGTTTATAGGACTGTAAAAAGGGTGTGTGTCAGGTTTAAGCATATTCCACTGTTCAGTCACACCATGTGGCTTTGGACATTGGCCTGTTAGTGTTGATTTGATGTACACAGTACTTTGATAAGCATGTCAAGAGAGGCCATTCAGAAAAGTTAACAGTATTCTCAGTCTCTACTCTGCAAGGATCCAGAGTATGAAAATACTGTTTTACTATATTAAATGTCCCAGTGATCTGAGTAATCTAAGGCTACTAGATCAAATATTTCAAGAAATTCCTATTGATAACCAAAGCTATGCTGAACTATTACATATGGCAGCTTGCAAATCTTGTTTGTACTTAAAGACAGAATACGTTAGCAAACACCAGATTCAGTTGTTTGGATTTCTTTTATTAGATTTAACTAATACTGCAAACGTGCCACTTGAATATTCAACTAGGTTTTAGAAGGATGGCTCCATTTATTAATTGACAATTTTGTTACTGAGAGGACAGTATCTTCTGGGTGGAGAGAGCACATTACACACACACATTTAAAAAAGTAAGATAAATTTTCAACCTGCCATAACAATTCTTTTCAGACTAATTTGTGAAAGGGATAAGCCTTTTTAAAGGTACTTAAAATCCCTATTGTGCTATGCAAACAATTAATGCCTTTGGATAGAGGACAAAAGTTAAACTAGGTATTCTTGGTTTGGAAATTGTTTTAAAAGTACATTGTTCTTAGCTTCACTAAATTAAGTACAGCATTTTCCCAGCAATAAGAGGTTATAGCAAAGCAATTCCTTGTAGAAGGAACTGTGAAATGTGAATAGTGAAAAATTATATCAAACTAATACTCAGTCACTACCCAATATTTGAGTAGAAAGGATCTGATACGATCTATGAACCTGAAACAGGGATTAAGTTATGATCTATGAACCTGAAACAAGGATTAAGTTATACAGCACTTGATTTTGATGCAATACACATTTTGCTTACTAAGAAAAGGTTCAAATTACTTCAATTTTTTTTTTGCCCTTAGTACAAATATTTTTTCCCATTAAATTCAAAGATCACAAAAATAGCTTGAGGGAAGAATAATTATTCAAAGGAGAAATCCCAAAAGTTAACGTCCTTTTAAATTAAGCTGTCCTTTTGTGTATATTATCTCATGCTGCACTTTGCTTGCTAGATTGTCATGACTTGTCAAATTTTCCTCTAGTTCATTTAACAGGTTGTAATTAAAAATATTTTCTCTGATCAAATCCAAGATGTTTCACCACCTCCAATAGGGTATGAAGCTGTTTTAAATCCATTTACTAATTTATTGAGCAATGTAAGCAAATTACACACTATCTTTGGTGACAAAAACCACACGCTTGAAATTGTGTACAAGCCATGCTACTACAAAGGAAGGAGAGTGAAATGTAATTTACTGCAATTAGGAGCCAAGCTAGCCTCTTTACAATACAAATAGCTACAATACCTGAGTTCATAAAAAGAGAATAAAATAATTCCCTATCGGTTTCAAATCCCCTGCATGAAGCAAGATGAGTAACAATTTGTATAGATCTAAGTTCATATATAGATCATATATAGATCATATAGCTCTTCTTTCATGTTTGTACAAACTCTGGATTAATATTAAACTATGGCACTATCTGCATGCCCAATTTGCCATGGCTTAAAGGAACCTGATTTTCAGAAAGTGCGAAATACCTTATTTTCAGAGAATGGTTATCTCCAGTTGGGAACTAAAAGTCAGTGTTTAGTTTTGAAAACCTTGGCCATGGACTATATAAAGAAACCAACATAAGTGCATTTTCTATAAGGACAGGGATCTGAGGGCAGAACAGGATTGTAAGGACAAATGAATTATTTCCCCAGACCTGTCATTGATTCATGTGATTTTGTGCAAACCACTTAACTGCTCTGTATCTGAAGTTTTACCAACCGAAAACTGAGATAACATCTACATCACAGGGTTGCTATTGCCTGTACAGTACTTTAAAAAAGCATATATGATAATACTGTAATTCAAACAGCCAATTTTAATCAAACGTATATATCATGATCTTATATATGCATATATACACACAGGCCATTTGTCTCATGTATTGCAGGGTGCAATATTTTGCATTTCTATAGATTTCATAGTTGAAAAGTGCTAACTGCTTTACTCAATATTTTCAGTACTCTCACATCAGTATCATTAGTCCCAGATTATAGGTGGGGAAACAAATATACAGAAGCAAAATAGCATGCCAACGTTCACTTTGAGAGACAGCAATAGGAAGAAGACTACAGGAGTCCTGACTCCAAACCCTGTGCTCCAACCAGAAATTCTCAAACTCCGGGCCACAGGCACTTGCTGGTAACTGGTCCTCCTTGTTTTCAGCTGTCAAATTAGATCGAGATCCAAACCACACTAGTTTCATTTTCCTTGTAAGCAGCTGTTGTCGTTGCTGCAGAGGTCTGATGTGCTGAAGAATGGGAGTGGAGGTCTGCACAATGCAGAACAGGAGGCAGAGTGCCCCCAGAGTGCTCCGTTACACTGGGGCTGGTTCCAGGAAGGTCTGGGCACCCTGCCGAAGGCTGCTTCGCAAGGGGGCCCAGGTGTACCTAGGCCCCGTTGTCTCTGAGGACCAGTCCCAGGTGCAAGCACGGCAGCATGTCCCGGATGCGTGCAATGAACACGTAGGGGATCGCTGGCTGTACCGGGGAAAGGCACCCACCGCTGCTAGGGTGCAGGGCGGGCCAGACAGGGGCAGGCCCATGCGAGGGTCTGAGAACCACGGCTGCAGCGACAGCGAGACCCAAGCCGGTGCGGAGGCTCCCGGGCCGGGGAGGCTCGGGGCCTGTGGGGCCTCGGGTGAGGGGACCGGCCTGTTTCCACGGCGCGGCCCCCGCGGCAAGGCGCTAGGAAGGGGCACGAAGAGGCCTGGTGCCCCCTTATTTCGGGGCTGGGCCCAGCTCCTCCCCTCGTGTCCCCCGGCCCAGCCTCCCCCGGCCGGCCCCAGCCACTCCGAGTGCCCGCTACCCGGGAGTCCAGGCTGGGGATGCGGCCTGGTCCTTACCATGGCGGCGGAGCGTGTGTGCGGCCCGGCGCGCTCAGTCTCTCGCTGCCTCGGCAGCGGCCGCCGCGTCTCCCTCCAGCTGCCCCACAAGATGGCGGCGCCGAGCCACGTCCCCAGCCGGAAGCGGCGCCACGCAAGGGGGCGGGAGCGTCCTGCTCTTCCCCGCCTCGGTAGGGGGCGCAGGTCTCGGGCCTTCCCGCCTTGCCGCTCCCCCCCCCCGAGCGCCGCCTCTGAGCCCCCCGCCAGCCCCAGGGGCCTCGGGGGCTGCTGTCTGATCTGCTCCCTCCCCACCTCTTGTGGGGGCTGGGGAAGGTCTAGAGCCAATTGCTCTAGAACGTGTCTTTACACAGCTCCCGCCCCCCAGCAGGCGGGCTGACCCCTAGGGAGCGCTGTGCAGGGCCTAGGACATGGAGCGAGGGCCTGTCCCTGCCCCCCGAGTTTGGTTTAGATTGATCTAGAGCACAGACTAGTCCGGGCCCTGTCCATCTGGAGACTGCGCATGGTAAGAGCGTTTCTGCCCTGACTGTCTATCCTGCCCCTGCTTTCTCCATCCATGGACCTCAGAGTGAAAACTACCGATGTAGAGCAAACCTGATCCCTGCCTTTGCCTTCCCAGAGAGACAAGGTGCGTGAGGTCATATTTTTTTATTGGACCAACTGCTGTTGGTAAGAGAGACAAGCTTTTGAGCTTACACAGAGCTCTTCGTGGCCCGAAGAAGAGCTCTGCGTAAACTCCAAAGCTTGACTCGCTCCCCATTAGTCTCGAAGGTGCCACAAGTACTCCTGTTCTTTCCACCAACAGAAGTTAGTCCAGTAAAAGATGTTACCTGGCCCACCCTCTTTTTGTAATCTCCTGCCACTCGCATGGCTACAGCACGTTCCTTCTCAGACAGGCTGATGGAGGATTTGAAGTGCACTCGGCAAATTAAGACCGATTAGAAAGCTCCCCTGGCCTTGTAGGCCTAGAGGAGTTAGAAGGATTCGCTTTGCTCGGAGTCAGTCTAGTCCATTCCAGAACAATGCAGCCCATTTCCCATCCTTCCTGCATTCGGATGATGGGAGTTTGCAGTGCTGTAAACCCATCTAGCTCGAACTAGAACAGCTCGGCCCTTTTCACCCTGCGTTGGGAGGGGGGAGACTGCGCTAGAGCCATCCAACCCGATCTAGAATAGAGTTGGAGCTGTGCATGGCACTGGCGAAATGAAACCCTACGTGCCGTCAACGCTTTTCTTGCCGTGAAGCCGTTCGGCCGCTAGGGGCCGCTGCTCAAAGCTTTCCCATAACCATAGACACTAGCGGGGCGAGACTGTCGACGTGGTTCTGGGTGAGCCGATCCGGTCACCGGAAAGCCGTAGAGCTGGGGCTGCGAGCTCTCGCGAGAGTTACTCGCCAATCTCCAGGGTGACGGTACACACACTGGGCCAGGCGAAGATGGCGTCCGGGCGGCGGGCAGCGCTCTGAAAGGCCGGGACATGGCGGAGGCCCTGCAGGTGACCGAGCGCCAGCCTGTGGGGAGGGAGCCCGGCAGCGCTGGGGAAAGGCCCTCGGCCGCCTCAGCGCAGCGCCGCGCGCGGTGCCCGGAGCGGGGACCCGAGTCTGCCGCGGGCCGCAGGCGGGCGCGTGGGGAGTGAAACAGTCGCGGGTGGCGTTGGGTGTGATGCCAGCCCCGGGCTGCGGAGCGACCCTGCCAGTGGTGTCCGGGGGCCCTGGCCATGCTGGGCTTCTGGGCTCCTAAACGCCCGACTGCCCGCGGAGCACCCACGTGCAGCATTGGCACCGTCCCTGGAGGCACCCACGGCGGCAGATTGGACCGTTAACACTGGCAGCATGTAAGAGGCTTTTTATCTTTAAAGTGCGTTGCAGTCATTCACTAGGGAGAGCCCGTACTCGGGAACAGGAAAGAGAAAGTGTTCTTCCCTGTAAACGTCATCCGAACGGGTTTGTGTTTCTTATTAGACCAAAATAGTCGAAAACCAGCCCTATGATGAGAGTCTAGAGATTAACGACTCAGAAGAGGTTGCCAGTATCTACACACCAACTCCACGGCAGCTAGGTAGGGGAAAGTCTAATTTCACATCCTGTTTCTATCTTTCCTACTAAAACAGTTTGTTTCTTTCCTTAAAATTAAAATGCTGACCAATCTCAGGTATGCTATTGGCAACTTGATTTTGGTAATTAAATTTTCTTAAAAATACTCTGATGGGATTTAAGTCTTCTCCATAAAATTGGAGCGTGAGCAGATTCAATGGTAAAATAGAATACATTCACAAATTTTTATTAATGTAATGTGTTCATTGCAAAAAAGCTAGTGAGATCAGATGTGGTAATGGTAACTGTCACTGAAATCTAGGTCTGCATCTAGGACATGGTTGGTTTAACATGGATTTGAGCTTCTCCACCAGGGCCAACCCCATCATTATATTCTAGTTCAGCCAAAGCATGTTGAAATTGTGAGTAAGCATGATTGTTAAACTTGGGTGTAAGGCCTGTTTAGATAGGGCTTCATTTGTAAGTGCCTCAATGTGACAATCCATGCTGCAATCCCACAACCCAAACTTGGGTAACATACCTTCTTGGTGATCTCTTCAACAGGTCCTAGGTCCACACGCCCACAGCTCAAAAATATGGCTGATAACAGCAGTGATGAGTATGATGAAGAAATAAACAAGGTATGAGGTTGCCCATGTTCTTCCTTACTGTTATGCTTGATCACAGCATTTTGTAGCCACATCTACTGGGGCCTCATTATCTACATGTTGAGTCTTACTGGGGAAATTGCAGCAAAGCAGCTTGGAAAGTTTTGTGATTTTTTTTGACCCATTTTGAGTAGAAAGAAATGTAGTTGCAGTATCTTTTGGCAAGACACATTATTTATACTAGGGTGAAGGTAAGAAGGGGTCAGATTGCTCTTTCCTTCGATTAGAACAGATGGAACAATTTAAGCGTACTAGGGAGAATAAATCTGGAAGGGGATTTTCACATCATGGCAGCTGACACCATCCAATGTGGATATAATGAATACCAGGCCCATTGTCACGCAATGGCTGAAGTGAGATAAAAAGAGAGATGCGAAAAATCAAGGGCTTACACCCACATTTGGCTGTAAAGACAGGGAGTGTTTTTTACAGGTTAGAGAAGATAAGTTGACTCTGGGTCAGGACTCCTGGGTTCTGTTTCCAGCTCTGCCACCAATTAGTTGTCTGACTTTGGGTGAGCCAGTTCCCCCCATCAGTATTTCAGTTTCTCTGGCTGTAAAGTAGGGTCATACTATCAGCTACCTCGCAGGGACTTGGGAGAGGATGGAGCAGTGTTTGTAAAGCACTTTGAGATCCTCTGAGAGAAGGACAAATTATTATTTATTAGAACTGAACATTCCCCCCACCACTGAAAACCATTCAAATCAGACTAAGATTAAATGCCTGTGCTGGCATTCCTTTTCCATGCCACTAGAGGAAGTTGTTTGTTCGTTACACTGCTGTGCCCCACCCCTTTGTGGCAGTTTTGGACAGAGGGTGTTTTCTGTTTAGAATGAAAGATGATAGAGCTGGGAAATGGGGCTGTTGGAAATGTATGTTGCACCTGTCATCAGAAGCTACTGGTGTGGTGCTCTGCTCTCTTCATGTTGATAACCGTCGGCTGTGTGCATGTGTTCCCTCTGTGTGCTGCCCTGGCTCTGAGCAGATCGCTGACACAGCAGACCCCCGAGAGAACCCCCAATGACCATAGACTCTAGTAAGGTACGAAGGCACCCGCCCAGGTTTATTGTCGAAGAGGAACACAGTCTCTAGCTCCCCGGATTAGATATCTACGGTTCTGCTAGTACATATGTGTTCGCTGGCAATGGACCGGCTCAGTCAGTGGCGGGACTTTCCATTGCCCCCTAGGCCGGACAAAGATATCCACTCAGGGGTGCATTCTTATACACAGGTACAAACAAGTAACACATCACTCCTGATGTATTGAGGTGCATCCCCTCTGCATAGCAAGGTACAACCCCTCCACGCAGTAAGGTGCCGCCTCTCACCTTGTACGTGTTGGTTCGAACAAAACAACTCTATCCATCATATTCCCCTTTTGTCCCTGTCCTTGTTATCTGTGTGGAATGTGCAAGTATCGGAGTGTTCTGGTATCTCTAGTGTCCAGTACCTTTTAGGTACAGTAACTCCTCACTTAAAGTCATCCCGGTTAACGTTGTTTTGTTGTTAAGTTGCTGATCAATTAGGGAACATGCTCGTTTAAAGTTGTGTAATGCTCCCTTCTAATGTCTTTGGCAGCTGCCTGCTTTGTCTACTGCTTGCAGGAAGAGCAGCCCGTTGCAGCTAGCTGGTGGGGGCTTGGAACCAGGGTGGACCGGCAGCCCTCTTATCAGCTCCCCACTCCCCTAAGTTCCCTGTGCAGCAGCTGCCCGGCAGGCAAGCAATTGCAGTTGTCCCTCCCCCCACTGCCATGTGCCGCTCCTGCCCTCTGCCTTGGAGCTGCTCCCCGAGACTCCTGCTTGCTGTGCGGGGCGGGAGGAAAGGAAGAGGGGGGCTAATGTCATGGTGTCCCCCTCCCCTCTGTTCCTGCACCCCGCTTACCCCATCTTCCATAGAGCGGGGGGGACACACCAGGGCTCAGGATGGAGGGAGCTTGCAGCAACTGCAGTATCAGCAAGCTGATCGAATTAACAAGGCAGTGTATTTAAAGGGGAAATGCGCATCTCTCCCTCCATTCCTGCTGCCTTGTATAGTGAGAGAGTTAACCCTTGAGGACTCAGCCAATTCCTAGTTCATCATTTAGCAGTAAGGGAAATATCCCACCTTCTGACTCCTCCACCTCAACCAAGCTTCACAATCATCATCACTGTGTACCAGTATTAAATTGTTTGTTTAAAACTTATACGCTGTGTGTGTATAATATATAATAGTCTTTTGTCTGGTGAAAAAAATTTCCCTGGAACATAACCCCCTCATTTACATTAATTCTTATGGGGAAATTGGATTTGCTTAACATCGTTTCGCTTAAAGTCGCATTTTTCAGGAACATAACTACAATGTTAAATGAGGAGTTACTGTATGTGTATTTGTGCAACATCAGCCCTTTCCTTGCCAGCTTCTGTGAGCAGGGGCTGCCTCTGGCTCACAGCTTAACTTTGCTTTATGTTAGCAAAGTCTTGACCATTACTTTAGTTCAGGCCTTAGGCCTCATACCGGGCCTCTGAAACCAAGGGTTTATGTTTCAGGGCCTCATCTTACTACAGCACCATAACTCTGGTTTTAACATTGACCTAGGAGAAGAAGGTAGCCCAGTTGGCCCCCCAGCAAGGATTTAGTGAGAATGAGGATGGGGAGGATGAAGATGATTCGTCTGAAACTGACTCGGATGATGACGATGATGAAGAGGAGCATGGAGCCCCTCTGGAGGGGTATGAGGGATTATTAATTCCTAATAACAGTGAGAATAGCCATGTGAATTAAAGTCAGGGTCTCCATTCTGAGAGAAGACTCCTAACAAGCCAGTTGAATAATGTTACATTCTAGCAATACTGTGCAGATATGTCTTTAGGTTAGATAGTGTGGGAATGAAGGGTTTAAAAGCTGAGGTAGATGATGTGCAGGTGCAAGTGTCCTCAAACAGCTCCGTGGTACTGGGGTTGGAGTGCTGCAATGGGAACTGTAAGTCTGAATCCAAGGTTTTGGGGAGCTGCTTTCAGAGTATCAGCCCTGAAAATGAAGCTAGAAGGATATAGCTATATTAAGTGGGGAGGAGGAATTCCATTGCCCATGTGGCCAGGAAGAGTGTCACTGGGGTTTGAAAAGCATCAGAAAAGATGCACTGTTCATACAATAGAACTGTTCTTAGAGAGCTTGAAAATTGGATTCCTAAGCAAGATTCTGACTTGTTCATTGACACAGTAGGATTCTTAGATTTCAAATACTGCTGCCCAGTTTTCTTCCTACCAATACCTACTCATGAACTTTATAACCAATGCAATCAGCCTCTTTGAGGTAATGTAGGGGGTACCCAAGTTGCCTGGCATAAACTGAGACTTAGTATAATAAACTAGCACTAATAGAGGGCTAATTAATTAATACGTTAGGAGGCCCATTAATATGCTCAATGCATTGTGCTGCACAAAGATAGAGTACATTTACTGCCTTTTTGCAGACAATTCATTTCCATAATTTACATACAGATGTCTAGCATGCAAACCAGCCTGCCCCAAGGGAAATAATTGTTATATCATTACACTTATTGTAATATAACTTTGTTGAAAGTCTGGTCTGCTGCCCATCACCATGGTATTATTTATTAAACTCCAATCAAAAAAGGGAGTATCTGGTAAAAGGGGGTGTCAGTGTTGTGAGTGGTGTTCTTATGATGGAAACACGTCTTCAAAGAGGAAGAGTTTGCAGCGTTTCCTAAAGATGTCAGAGACTGGATTCTCTTGATCTCTTCTGTAAATTTGTTCTGTAGCCAGATCCATCCCCCAGTATGGGTGTGCTAAGCTGGGGAAGACATCCAAGGCCCTCTCCTCCTCTAACACACCCACAGAGAATCAGATATAAGTACCCCATAAAATTAATCTGCATGAATCTATTGGTCTTGAATATCTCTTCTTTTCTCTAGTGCCTACAACCCTGCAGATTACGAGTATCTACCAGTGTCTGCAGATATTAAAGAGCTCTTCCAGTATATAAGGAGGTGAGTAGAAGGAGCACTAGTCTGCATTGGGATGCCCTTCTGGGGGGTGAAATGTTTACAGAAGGAAATGCTTCTTTTCCGGACGATAATTTCCCTGTGTAATTCTCAGGTACACTCCACAAATGATAGAGCTTGAACACAAACTGCAGCCTTTCATTCCAGACTTCATTCCAGCTGTTGGGGACATCGATGCCTTCTTAAAGGTACCCAGCTTTCAGACCCTCCCCTGTAACTCCTGTTGTGCAGGATCAAACAGTGCTCTCTCCCATGAAAACAATAGTAATTTAGTGAGAGAAGCAGCATTTGCGTTTCTCTTTGTTGGAAGAGGAGCAATTTCAGCACACAGGGTGCCAGACTAGGGGCCCAAACCCACTTATGGGGACTTAGCCTCCTCGGCCCATAATGTGGCGTTAACCCCTGCTTGTCCAGTGTGGGGTTGGTGCACCCCGTCAGAGTGTCAGGAGGTAAGTTTTTTACCTACTTCTTAAACAGACCCATAGAATAGCCTTTGCTAAAGGATTTGTATAAATTTCTAGATTTTTTTCTTAATCCTTGGTAGCCTAGCAATATTTACACAGCCACAGTTTTTTCTTTTTCAATGAAGACCCAGAGTGTGACTGGGTTAGAATGCTCCCATTCTGCTACTATTTTGAGCTGGCTGGCTTGACAATACCTTTGTATTCCTGCTAGGATTTTTATCTGGGGTGGTTACAAAAGATTTTGAAACAAGAAAGATATCCATGTCATTCTGACTGTGGCTCTTCTTCCCAACCGAAAAATGGAATACATACCCCAACACTCCAGATCTCTTTTCATTTGCTAA